TAAAGACAATAATGAGTATAATGTTAAATTAAAATGTTGAAAATTTTGGAATTAACTGACTTGACTTAACCTGGTAAAAATCAGATCCTTGTCCTTTACTTTGCTTCGTACGAGGGTCTGGACCCACGGCCTATAGAGAAGCGAATCTTGCTGGAGGCGTGGCCTCTGCTGAAGTTTAAAATGATTGGATCGGTTGGCCACAACATATGTCGCTGTGAAAGAGGCTAGGCTAAGAAGCTAACAAGAAATTGCGTGCGCCGTAAAAACCCTTCTGAGAGGAGAAATGTACCGCGCCGAACAAGACGACTGTAAATGAGAGCTGCTGCTTTGTCAGACAAATTTAATTTAATTTGGAAGCCTTATCAACACAGACTGGCTTCATTCACTTCCTCCACTGCCATTGATAAAATAACTAGCAGACACTGCGCAGAAAGTCGACGTTCTGTTCTCTGATTGGCCTTGAYGAAAATTCTCCCAAAGAAATCCTTGTCTATGGGAGRAATTCTAGACGCAGCAGTGAAGGGAAACTACTACACAGGTGTGATGGAGTGAGTTCAATCCAATAAGATGTCAGAATGGTTTATAATTACACTTCTCATCAACCACAATCAAATTCACTCTGTATCTGGATAGATTTATATTTATTTTTTTTTCTGAACAATGAAAAGATGGAATAAAAACAAGTCAAAGTTAAATAGAAATGAAATACTTTTTGCATTTTAAAAAGTAAGGAGTAGAAAGTACAGATAATTGAATTAAAATGTAAGAAGTAGAAGTAAAAAGTAGGCTGAAAAATAATTACTCCGCTAAAGCATAAATAACCAAAATTACTACTTAAGCAAAGTAACAAAGTATTTGTAATTAGTTACTTGACACCTCTGATCCTGGTACCCATGACATCACRGATAATTTACCAGAACACATACATTTTTGAGCTTCTCCAGGAAATATGTGAATGGTCCACATTTCTACGTCCTCTCCAACCATTTTGTTGTCTTTTTATCTGTTTGCTTTAATGAAAARTCTTATAAGGTTCCTCCAGGCAAACTCTCTCCACGTCCGAGCATCAGGAGTTGTCTGGTGGAGTTTCCACATTTTGCCATATCCTCAATATTTATATATATAATTATTTTTCCCATTTATTCTTTACCGATTCAGTTGTGTCTTTATTTATATTTGTTTGTTTGGACTTTATAGTGAGTGAAGTTTAAGTAAGTAAAGTTTATTTTTATAGCACCTTTCATAAACCACAAAGCGCTTCATAATAAAAGCAAGAAAAAAATTAAAAGCATCATGAAAACATTACATTCATACAAAAGTCCAAGTAAAAAAAGGAAGAAAATTTTTTTAACTAAAAGCCATACTGCCCACATTTATAATGTTATTATTCYAAAATTGTTATAATTTAGCCTTAGTTATAATTTTAGGGATGCATGATACGTATATCAGCATTGACATCGGTATCAGCTGATATTGGTCATTTTTTAGAATATCTGTATCGGCCCAATATGTAAAACGGGGCCGATATTAATGTCCGATATTGATTTTCCATTTTTTAGGGGTTTTTTTTTCTGTTTTGGGAGGCAAAATATTTGGTCGACTAGTATCTGATCGTGATAGTGATATTGACGCTGTGCAGCCAGGAATAAGTGAAGCAGAGCCAGGTCAGAGGTCTGCTTGTTTATTTACAGTATCGAAAAAAGACACAAGTGTGTTTGTGCGTAAATAATTTGTGTGTTTGTGTGATATCGGTAAATATCGGTTATTGGCCATAACAGCAATGATAATATTGGATATCGATATCGGCAGAAATTTTCATATTGTGCATCCCTMTATAATTTGTATCACTTCGCTCTCTTCTTTGTAATGGTTTGTCTGTACTGCAGTTTTGTAGTAATTTCTCATTTGAAGACATTGAAGATATTTTCTACTAATTATATTTCTGTTCTAGTTGTTGAAAACTCTCCAGATGTCCATTTTCTCCAGCAGGCATCATGCTGTCATTCCTGTATAAGTCTATTTTTTATATTTGTGATCTATTAAAGTATGTTTAATGTTGTTATCATATTCTGTCTGTTAGGTCATGTGGTGGCAGGAGGTTCATTTTCGTACACACCTTACATAGTCCAATGAGACACAACACAGAGCTCTATAGCTCCATAGGTTTTAGTGAAACTAACAGAAAGTAATAACTGGATGAGTCAGTCCAACACAAATCTCAGAGAGCTCATTTTGCACAACTGATTGTTGTTAGCCCTTGGCTTTTTAGTCATCAAGACTGAGAAAACAGTGATTTTTGTGTTTTTGACATTATACATGAGACCCTTCATTTGCTCCTCACACAGGATGCACTACGGACATCATGACGAGTGACCATTCACCGGTTTTTGCCTCGTTTGAAGTTGGAGTTTCATCACAGTTTGTCTCCAAGCAAGGTATGAGCAGCAGTCAGCTTCAAGCAGGCAAAAAGCACTTTTAACTTCGAGCCTGATGTCTTCTTTGGTTTCCATTTGAAAGGTCCCAACAGTGCTCCTCAGGGTGGAATCCAGTTCATGAACTGTGTGGCCGTCTTGGTGACCAAGTCAAAGACCAAGTTCTGCATCGAATTCCATTCCAGCTGCTTGGAGAGTAGGTTTCTTTTCATTCCTTTTTAAAATCTTTCTTACAAAGTACGTCACTAGATTCTTCATTGAATGGATGAAGGTGAGAAACATAATTCTTCCAACAGAAAGGGTGAAGACTTCAGAAGGAGAGAACACAGAACAATCCAATGGATCCATAAAAGTTTGGTTTGGAAACCAAGTAGAGGTAATTTTATTTTTTAAAGAGACTGGATATAACAAAAATAGATATTCATTATGTGTACTTCTTTTTCAAGCTCACCCCCATCATTTCTGATCCGGAGTACCTCTTGGATCAGCACATCCTCATCTGTGTGAAATCCACCGACTGCGATGAGTCATATGGTAATATGTTCGCACTGTGCTGTTTGTCACTGATTTGTGCAACATAACGTCATCTTGAGTTTTCTTTTTTTGAAAGGAACGGGTTGTATTGCTCTTCGAGCTGCACAGAACAGCTACAATGAGTTCACCATCCCCCTGACTCACCACGGCGAGTACACCGGCACTCTGACCGGGGGCATGCAGTTRCGCACCTCTGACTTCAAGCCCACCGAGAAGCTATACGGTGAGAATACGGGGATGATGAAGAGGATGATGGGTTGCAGTTGAGACTAAAACAAAAAAAGCTAAAATGTGTGACAATAAATTTAGATTTTATGTTAGTTTCTATGTTCTTCACAATATATGGGTTGAAATGAGCAAACATGATGTTTAGTACATTAGCTCGGGATTCAAAACCACAAATTTATTAGTAATACTGTATTTATATGGTTAGTTCCCAAGCTAATAATATTAACACTAGCTCCTGAACTAATGTTATATGTATGTAATAACAACATAATATGTATGTGTGTGTGTGTGTGTGTGTGTGTGTATGCGTACCGATGTTTTTGCTACTTGGTGGGGATGATTTTTCTGGAAAATGGTAAATGGACTGTACTTGTATAGCGCCTTTCTACTCAACCAGGATACTCAAAGTGCTTCGCACTATAATCTGTGTCCTCATTTACCCATTCACACAGCACTCTACAGGATCTCCTTCAAAGCTAACATGTACAATCAACTGTGGAGACTAATCAGTGCCAATCACATTCATACACTGATGGGACACCAGAGGCATTGGGGTTAAGTATCTTGCCCAAAGACAACAACTTAGACAGCTGGACGGGGGATCGAACCGGTGAACTTCCAGCTCCAGGACGACTCCCCTAACCACTCTGCCACAGCCTCTTGGGGACCAAATGCTCCTTGTGAGGACCAAAGCCTGGCCCCCACGATTTCGGAGGCTGATTTTGGGTGGGGGGGTTAGGTTTAGGATCAAGGTGTAAATTACGTTTATGGTAGATTTAGGGTCAGGTATGTACTGGAGTGGTTAACTTTAGAGTAAGCGGTCAGGTTTAGGCTATCAGTGGTCTATAAAGTACTTGAAAAAAAAAACAAAGTAAAAGTAAAAATACCTTAACAGAAAATGATTTTGGTAAAAATAAATTTCACTGGTGGAAAAAGTACTTAAGTAAATGTCACAAAACTGTTCATAAAAATTGGGAAAGTAAAAGTAAAAGTACTTTTACACACTCTCTACGAAATAATCTGTAGCATTTACTGAACCCCTTAACCATCTTTGTTCCACTGGTGGGCAAAAATGGTGAAGTTTCTGCCGTTAAATGTTTCTGAACGCGACCGGGGGCTTTTATTTTGAGGACTAGGGTGTCARACAAATTCCTCCAGTTCTTACCTTTCAGGGGCATCTGTTATAGGGGTTAACCAAACTGSTTCCACTAAACCCAGTGGAGAAAATATTCTTGCCTCATACAACCCCTGGCAAAAAGTATGGAATCACCAGTCTTGAATGAGCACTTCTGTAAAACAAACTCCGATCAAAATCATGATACAATAATGAGGTCATTCCAAAATGCAACTTGTTGGCTTTCAGGAACACTCAAAGAAATGAAGAGAAATCATTGTGGAAGTCAGTGAATGTYACTTTTACTGACCAAGCACAGGGAAAAATATGGAATCACTCAATTCTGAGGAAAAAAGTATGGAATCACTCAAATTGGAGGTAGAAAATAAGGACACACCCAGTCASTTTCCTTTCCCTAAATGGACACCTGCCTCAGATTAGATCTGCTCGTTAGTCTGCAGTTAAAAACACCTGCAGTCATGACACCTTGGAGGGCTGCTGGACTAAGTGGAGTGGCAAGAACCATGGCTCCAACAAGAGAAATGTCTCTTGAAACAAAAGAGAGGATTGTGAAACTTCTTGAAGAAGGTAACTCTTCACGCATGGTTGCTAAAGATGTGGGCAGTTCAGTCAGCTGTATCCAAGATATGGACCAAATACAAACAGCATGGAATGGTTGTTAAAGCCAAGCGTACTGGTAGACCAAGAAAGACATCAAAGCATCAAGACAAACAAAAGGCCATTTGTCTTGAAAACCAAAAAAGTACAACTAAACAGATGAAGAATAAATGGGAGGAAGCTGGAGCCAATGTATGTGACTGAACTGTAAGAAACTGCCTAAAGGAAATGGGATTTCAATACACAGGAAAGCTAAAAGAAAACCATCATTGACACCTAAACAAAAAAAGAACAAGACTGCAATGGGCCAAGGAGAGGCAAACATGGACTGTGGATGACTGGATGAAAGTTATCTTCAGTGATGAGTCAAGAATCTGCATTGGACAAGGTGATGATTCTGGAACTTATGTTTGGTGCCGTTCCAGTGAGATTTATGAAGAGGACTGCCTGAAGAAAACAACCAAATTTCCACAGTCCTTGATGATATGGGGCTGCATGTCAGGCAAAGGCACTGAAGAGATGACTGTGGTTCATTCTTCTATCAATGCACAAGTTTGTATTGACATTTTGGACAGTTTTCTCATCCCTTCAATTGAACAGATGTTTGGAGGTGATGAAATAATTTTCCAAGATGACAATGCATCGTACCATAGGGCAAAAACAGTGAAGGCATTCTTTGGAGAAAGACACATTCAGTTGATGTCATGGCCTGCAAATAGTCCAGATCTAAACCCAATTGAAAACCTGTGATGGAAATTGAAAAAAATGGTCCACAAGAAGACTCCGATCTGCAAAGCTGATCTGACAACTGCTATCAAAGAGAGTTATCAACAAATTGATGAAGAATACTGTTTGTCACTCATCAAGTCCATGCCCCATAGACTGCAAGCCATTATAAAAGCCAAAAGTGGTGCAACTAAATACTAGTGATGTATTTTGAATGGTCTTTTGTTTTTCTGTTTTTCATGATTCCATACTTTTTTCCTCAGAATTGAGTGATTCCATATTTTTCCCTGTGCTTGGTCAATAAAAGTAACATTCACTGACTTCCACAAYGTTTTCTCTTCATTTCTTTGAGTGTTCCTGAAAGCCAACAAGTTGCACTYTGGAATGACCTTATTATTGTVTCATGTTTTTGATCTGAGTTTGTTTTACAGAATGAAATGTCTGAATGAGTGCTCATCCAAGACTGGTGATTCCATACTTTTTGCCAGGGGTTGTAGGTTAATGAAACCAGCTGACATGACTCGGTTGAGTAAATTCAACACTTCATTTTTTAGAGTGCATAAACAACTCCTTTCATGATGAATTTGGAAATGTTTAATTTTGTAACGAGTAACTAGGTGTTAAATTTTAAAGTAAAGAAGTAAATAATCAATTTTAGGTTTTAAACGTAACAAAATAAAAGTAAAAGTAACGATTTCAAAAATACTTGGTAAAACTACAAATCCTCAAAAAAGTTACTTAAGTACTGTAACAAAGTAAATGCACTTAGTTACTATAAACTTCTGTAGGCTATGTGTGTGTGTGCGTGTTATTGCCCTGAGCTAATACTATTAGCGCGGGGGCTAATATAGCATGGGGCATTGTACTTATTCATAATATATATACTGCATGGCATTAGTTCAGTGGAGATWTAGTGTTGATTCCCAAACTAAATCTTCATGTACATATTAGCTTAGGAGCAAACGCGAAAGCTAAAAGGCTAAAGAGGAGGTTAGCCTCCCATGAAGCAGCTCTGTTTCCTCCATCATCATTTTCAGTTTCAGACTGAGTCATTTCTACCTTCTGTCAATACGCTCCAGTTTTATTTAAAACGGCTGAACGCTAAACATTGTCCAAAGTTAACCTTTAAGCTGACAAGAGCTCTCACTGGAGCTCCTAGTAAGCTTAATCAATTACTTAGATTGCTTTGCGGTGTAATGTTGACGTCCATGTGGCAATATATATTTTTTGCTTTATAAAAATTAAACAGTATTTTTACAGTCTGGTTTTTATGTTTATCAAATAATGTCTAATGTTACAAGAAGTCAGAGATCTCTTTAAACATCTTTTTTTATTTTAAACAGCTTTTCTTATTTTACTTCACTTTCAGATTTCATCAAAATCGAAAGAGATGATGCTTTTCCCACAAAAGKCAAGGGCGGGGATCTTAACAAGTATGTATTTTTTGTTGTTGTTTTCCACCCCACCTTATTATAAAATATCTTCTGAACTGAATCCCAGGACATAAATGTGTTTCCAACCTCTGGTCGGCAGGTCTTCAAACACTCAGGCCCTTGATATTTCAAACCCAAGTTACATGGGTGTGTCATTCAAGAGCGGTAACACGGCCGATAAGGGCTGGAGTAACAGAATCGCACCCCGAAATGCTCCTACTGGGGGGTCGTCAAGTAAAGATCAGAAGAAAACAGGGTATGATTTGAACGCACGCAGCTCAGGTTCTAACACACAGCTGCAAATTATTCAAACCCTTAGTATTAAAACATTAAATGTTTCAGTAGAAAGTCAAATTAAAGATGACTCCTGTCTGTAGGAACGTGGAGGAAAAGTTGTCAGAGATGTTAGACAATCCGCTCTACGGCTCAGTGACAAAATCCCACGGTCAGGCCAAGGACCAGGGCCCCCCGCAGACGCCCGCAGCGGACGGAGACCCAGACCGGCCCCCGCTGCCCGTCCCACGCAACCGCTCCTTCACCTGCTCCGAGAACAAACCTCAACCCTCTGCTGCCGCCGGCCTGCACCCCCCGTCCCAGAAGAAACCGGTGGTGCCCTCGCGCTCGGAAGGTGGGATGGCRCAAAGCCGACCCCCTTTGCCCAAGCTGCGGCCAGAAGCCCAGAACCCCAAACCCAGAGACTACAGAGACAGCTCTGAGCTCCCCGGCAAACAAAGACTGCCAGCGAGACTCAGTCCACAACCGCCTCACAAAGACAGTAAGAAACAACCACAGAGTCTTAGACTACTTTAATTTAAATGACGTCTAATTTTTAATGTTTTTTTTTTTCTCCAGTGCATCCAGATCATCCAAAGGCGGGCCGTCCTGTGAACTGAGACCAGGCTGCAGCTGACAGAACAGCTTCCTGTCTGCAGTTTTATGAAAACAAAATCTATAAAGTCAAACGTTATTTTCACTTACTGTCTTCTGTAACATTTAACCACTGTCCTTTAGGAGGGGAAAATATCTAGAGCTACCACATCCTGAAACTTTGTACTGAAAATGATAGCTTGTTCATTTTTGAAGTGATGTTCTGTGATCAGTATCACCGTGGAGCAGAACGTGTGGAGAAAAGAGCAGCGGTCTGCCTCCGGGCTAGGCTAAGGTACACATAATGACAAAAAGAAAACAGCTACAAACTAAACAGTGTCATACCTAAATGTAGATGTTTATTATTAGCTAATGTAGCATTCTTAAAAGTGCCTGTGACATGCCTATCCTACAAATACAAAAAGTCAAAGTAAAGATCTTTATTCTTAAGAAAATTGCCATAATCCACATGATTTTACACATATTGTAAATTATTCAAACCCTTAGTATTAAATTATTACCTATAAATTAATGAATTTTTGGATTTGGCTCAGCCAAAGTGAAACAGGAAGTGACATCAAAGGGAAACTCATTAATAAAATAAGCTCTCTGGTCTTTGTTTCTAAAAACAATAATATTCAAACTTTAACTCTTCTTCATCTCTCTTTGATAGAAACTCAAAATAATCTAAAGAAACATCAGATTCTTCTCCACAGTTTCTGTTGTTGGCTGTCGTAACAACGCTCTGTTTACAGGCAGACATTCCCCTTTGACATCACTTCCTGTTTCTTCACATGCAAATATCTCAACAACTGTTCATCTCAGCGTCGTGAAATTTGTTTTGCAATATTTTATCAATCTTCTCTTTCCAAAAATGCATTCAGGTTTATTACAAAAAAGTTGATGTCACAGGCACTTTAACCACAGTAGGTTTTATAGAAAGTGTTGTTTTATAAGCAGGAAAAATGTTCAAATCCAGAGGCCGGGTCCTCTGAAGGCTGAATTCGTCGGCCGCTCACGTCACAGCGCTGTGACAGAGGCTGTCTAAAACTGAAGACTCCTCCAATGCGGCCGACAAACGTGTCCTTCCTTTAACCAGTAAGGACTGGTCTGATGGATCCTTCCTGGCCCACCATATCCCATAATGCATTGTGGCCCGACCAGAGTTTATATATTTTTTATGCTAGTAATGGGGACGAAGCGAGAAAAGAATATGTTTTAAAAATAAATATGGGGGTATAAAAATGACATTTTTATGGGGTTTTTTTTTGTGTGATTTTTTGTGACTTTTATCATTTGTATGTTTTAAATATTTTTGTCAGGAAAATAAGTGAAATAACATGCACCTACGGCAGGTCCATTAGTTCTTCAAATATTACCTTTGAGTTAATTTTATTGTTTTGTGATATTGATATTAGCCCACCTCAACAGTCTTTGTTTTGCTAGCCATTAGCCTAGCCGTTAGCTCAGCCAGGAGGAAGACTTCTGCCCTTTTCTCTACACGCCAAACTCTAAAACTGATGTCATGAGGGATAAAGTACAAACTACTGATAACTACTTCAAAAATCTCCAGACCTGTACCATTATTAAAACATTTTAAAACTTTGTTCCAAGTTTTTATGCCAAGCTAAGCTGTCTGGTGGCTGTTTCAACAGATAGATTTGATTTCTGTGTCGAAACAAGACAAGTCCTCGTCTTAGGGTGTCTAACTGTCTCTGAAATATGTCATTGTGTTGCATTTAAGGGGATTTGTGAGTAGAAATTAAATATAACTAAGGAGTTATTGCTGTAAAACTGTTGTTTTTAATTGTAAGACAGGTCAACTTGCTCAAAATCCACCACATTTTGTTGTGTGTTTCTACAGTAGCCCAGATGGACAAACCCAACGCTTCTAAAGTTTTTAATTTTTATTATATATTTCATCTGTGAATCATTTCATCATGTTCAGAGAAAAAAGGTCAAACCAACTGAGTTGGTTGTAATCTGTAAATTAGCCACTAGATGGCGCCACATCCCAAACATGATTATTTTGCTGATGAATAAACGTTTTTGTTAGGCTCACATTACACTTGCAGGCTATAAAACTAACTTTTGCTTCCAAAATAAGAGTTTTACACTATGTGTTCGTTAAAATGTTGACCACAGTATTATCTTGCATGAACATCACAGCTTTTAACTTGTGCAATAAATCTTCAAACACATTCATATGTCAAGGTTGTTTTTAATTTAATGATATAATATTTTAATGAATTAAATATTATATATATATG